TCCAACCTTAATGATTCTGTGATTCTAAACGTGGAGCTGGGTCATGGTTCTACGGTAAGGTCCCCTCAGGGGCTCCCTGTTGTCTAACAGTAGTTGAGGTTGTGGAACAGCTTTCCTTGCAGCCCGGGCACCAGCTGGGTCACTCTCTTCTGCTTTGCTGCCTGTTGTCATTAAGAGTTCCATCTCTGTCAGGTCCAGTTCAGACCAGCCACCAAGCCCAAGAGACAAAGACTAAGAATTGCTCCACCAGTTTTTTTGCCAGATCTTGTGTGAGTTTTAACCAAGGGGCAGAAAATCATTAAATCCACTTGCAAAACTTCACTCCAACCTCATCTCTCCAAAGTGGCCCCATCCTTACCTCCTCGAACTTCTCCTTCCAGTAGAAGTCAGCCTTTGCATCCAGGTAGAGCAGAACCAGGTCACAGACCACCGTGGCCTGGAGACAGACAAACACAGCAGGGCAGTCAGCAGTGACACATCCTGCAGGAGTGCCAGGCCCTCTGCCTGGCTCCCCCCAAGCCCTGCAGCCAGCTGCGGGCCAAACTCCAGCCCCTGGCCCGTGCTGGGGACAGCGAGCCTGACCCGCCTCCAGCCCAGGCCACCCAGACAGCTCCACCAGGTCCTCCTTGACCCAACCTGCTCCCACCAGCTGCACAGGAGTTAGATGGCATCACCAGGGCTGCAATGCATGGACGCAGGGTGAGGGCTGGTTCAGCGGAGAGCCGCTGTCACAGCCATGTAAGGGACCAGGATGAGCACGTCTGGGAGGAAAGGGGGGGCAGGCGGCAGAGCCCAGGCTCCTCATTACTCTGCTGAAGGGAAGAGCCATGGAAGTGCTCTACAAGGGGCTGCCCCATCTTGATGACCACAGTGGCACATCTAAGCCAGACACTGGCTCCCTTTAGAGTCAGGGGACAAACAGAGAGGAGGGGCTCTCCCCTGCTGGCTGAGACAGCCTGAGCAGACCGGCCAGCAAAACCCCAGTGATGCACCTTCCCAGGGTCAACAAAAGCACCCAGCCTCCATGAGCTGTGCCCCTGCCAGCACTCAGGACCCTTGATCCAGCGGTGTCCATTACTGCTAACGATCTCAAAGGGGAGCTAATACCCTGCAGCCAATCCCCCCCCAGGCCGGCAGCACCCAGGAAGCCTTGTGCCCAGGCAGGGAGGGGAACCAACAGTTGAGAGGCAAATCCCCACCTGTGGTTCGGAGGAAAAGAGCATATCTGGAGTACTCACAGCACCAAAGAAGGCGATGCCGGTGCCGAAGCTCACAGCACCAGG